CCGCTTTGTAATAAAACACTATCCATTTTTCCACCTATAGATTTTTTATAAATTCTCAGTTTTCTCGTAGATTGAAATTTATTTCTTCACTTTTTCGTATTGTAGGCCTGTCTTGGCGGCGATGGAATGACTCCAAGATTCCGCCCTGAATCTAGTGGGATTGGAGGGTGTCGGGTCAAAATCCAGAAGGGGTCAAAATTTATATTTCTCGTATCTCGGATTATATGGTGTCAGGGTGATCGGGTTCAAATCCAGAAAAAGTTCTGTCGCACTTTGTAATAACTGAGTTGTCGCACTTTGTAATAACTGTCTGTAGCACTTTGTAATAAAATGACCTGTCGCACTTTGTAATAAAACACTATCCATTTTTCCACCTATAGATTTTTTATAAATTCTCAGTTTTCTCGTAGATTGAAATTTATTTCTTCACTTTTTCGTATTGTAGGCCTACCTTGGCGGCGATGGAATAGCTCCAATATTCCACTCTGAATCTAGTAGGATTGGAGGGTGTCGGGTCAAAATCCAGAAGGGGTCAAATTTATATTTCTCGTATCTCGGATTATATGGTGTCAGGGTGATCGGGTTCAAATCCCGAAAAGGTTCAATTTAATTTTCCTTTATTTTATTATATCATCGTTATGCCGATATATGGGATATGGCTCCAGTCCCACTTGACCCTATCTATTGGAGATTCCGAAACGTATGACGAAGGTCACAGGTTCAAATCCCAAAGAGATCAAATTTGATTTTCCTCTTATTTCGTAGACCTATATATCATCGGTTCCAAACAGTATAAAGGAGGCTCCGGATTCAAATCCAAAAGAGGTCCACTTTCATTTTCTATTTCCTATTAAATCATCGTTACATTGATGGGGTATGGTTACAATTCTATTGGACCGCCATAACTCAGGCGGGCAGAATACCTACATAGCTTGACGGAGGTCCTGGGTTCAAATCCCAAATATGTTTAATTTTATTTTCTTCTTAATTCATATTAAATTATCGTTACGTTGATTTGGTATGGCTCCAATTCTACTGGACCCTATAACTCAGTCGGTTAGTGCATCCACATGGCATGTCGGGAATCTCTGGTTCAAATCCTGGAGTCGAGTTTGATTTGTTTGATTTAACTGAAACTGTTCGCTAGATCGACAGTCGATTTAATTCTTGCGAGCTTTTACTGCTTGTCAACCATCGACAAATAAATAATGAAAATATAATCGATAATCATCATCTTTGTCATATTTGTTTCTATATCGCTTCTGAAGATAATGATGAAATGAATGCCGCCTTATTAAAACGAGTAACTAAAATACATAAAAGAATAACTGAGCTGCATAATTATGATACATGTAACATTGACTAATGCATGGTTTATACATTTCATTATTAGGGTATGCCACATACTGTACCTAGCAGATCATTATCAGTTGAATAACATAAATGAATAATTTAAAGAATTCATGCTACAACAATTGTAAACTTGATTAATAATCGTCTGAGGCTCCAGACGCCGATCAAGACTGCCCTGACCATCGCACATGGTGGTCCCATAGTGGGCGGAGTCGTTAGAAGAGAAGGTAATTTTTTGTTGTTTGTTGTTCTTTTTTAATGTGTTTGCAAGTTGCGCTAGCCTACAGTTAGGTTGTGTTTCTATAGTAGTCGTTAAAATAATAATTTTAAATGAATAGATAGTTAAAATAATAGTTTTTCGCTTTAGTATGATTTTAAAATAACATAATATAATAAACATTACATGTGCCTTTCTAATGTTATAAAAATGAACGCACACATTATAGGCCCTAATATCCTCTCTTATTGATTATGACATCAATTGTACGTTATCACAGTACATCGCGCAGGCGCTTTTTTATTATCCCTTTAAAATAGGATATCATAAAAAATATTTTGAAATACAAATTATTAACGTGAGTATACAAGTTACTCAATTTTAAAAATGTGTACCCTCTTAAAATTTATTAATTACAGTATAATAAAAACAATAAAATACTTCCATTGTCTAAATGTGTTTCTATAATTTTTTTCGATGAAAAATAATGGATAAAAATATTTAAATACATTAATTTCTCAAATTAACAATTTTTATTTTACATCAAAATGAGCAAGTTTTTATGCTTACATTTGGTATTTTTCATGGAACAATACATCTTTATCAGTCCCTGTTCAATTATTATAGTCAATACAAAAACATACTATATTGCTTATTTATTTACCTGTATTTCTGTCTTTGGTTGAGGCAGATGGCATTTGCAAAGGAAGGGAAGAGATGAAATTTCCCAGATAAACCGGTGCTTCAATCACTTTTACAAAAACAAAAACAAAAAAAAAAAAAGAAATTCCTCATCCTCACCTTCGTCATGTCAAACGGTGCGAAGGTCTGGATCCGCGCCTACGGTATTATCAGGAGATAAAACCTTCTCGGTAACTGTTTCCAGTTACGTAACACGCTTTTCACTAGTCAAACAAGGTAATTAATCAATCACATTTTGATCAGTTAAGGCCTTAATGGTGCCAAACGTACATTACTGCCAATAATTGTCTTGCCTAAAATATTTGTTTGTGTAGTTTGTTAACTTCTTGATAGAATAAAAGCATTCAGGTGGTACCAATATTAATAGTCCTTGAGTGCATAATGTTTTTAATAAATGCCCATTCACCTTCCACAATCCCATCACAATTCAGTGTTGTTGATCGGAGTAGTTTTATATGGTTAAATCTCAAATAATTATTATCTCTTGATTAGTTCACTTTAGTGGAGTTGGCAAGCACTTTTGTACTTTTCAGTTTGCTTTTATTCGTTCCTATTTCGCCTGGTAAAAAAGAATCGGCGGGATACATTCATCCAATGAACGACGAGGTATACGAGACCATCCTTTTACTTGTCCAAGGTATTTTCAAAGTTCCTGTTGCTGAGCGAACGCGTAATAAAAAATTAAAAAAAATGCTGTTGTGCGATATTGGCGCAATAAAGATCAATACCATCTCGGGCCACAAACGACGCCAACATTGTACTTTAATGGAAAAAAAATCGTGAAGAAGTCTACTATATCAGGATTGGTTGAGAGAACGTTTGATCAAGCAAAATCTGGCGGATGCAAAAAGCTAAGAAACTGTGCTGCGGCTGGATACATGGGGTTGTCAGAACGAAGTATCCTCCATGTGACTAAACGTAACCTCAAATTTAGCATCCATAATGCAAAATTTACTAATAAGCCGAGACTAACACCCTTAATTACAAAGCACATCCAGTCACAACATCAGGTAAGTTCATTAAAAATTACTTTTAATTAAATATTTTATTTTATTCTATATTTTATTCAATTTAAACAAGAGCGCATGCCTCCGTCCACATCCTTCCCATCATCCGCTCTCACAAATATAGGTTCGTATTTTTACATGGAAAATATGCATATATGTTTTTATGGTTACTTTTAGATTGACATGGGGATAGGTGTTCTTTTATTTAAATATTAATTAAATAGTTGCCGATATTTATTATTAAATTTAATTTTATGGTTCAATTGTTTTTTATTTTCATTTTTCATTCAACACGTTATATGGTAGACAAGTGATTGGTTTTAACGAGCTGCCGACACGACTCATCTTGTAAACGACTTAATCACAAATAAAAAATAAACTAAAAAAAATGATCGATTTTAAAAAATAAAACTAAACTTGTTAATGTGATGTAATTATTTTAATATGAAGACATAGCTAATGTAGTTAGTGTAGGCTTATAGTTCTGTTTTAGAAATAAAAATTACTAAATAAAAGGGTATGAATGGGACTTTTTTTATAATTCCTTTATCATAAATCCAAACACATTTTTTTAGCCAATATACCGAATACGATTTGAATTAGCCTATATTACATACACAATTTTTTCTTGAATCTCCAGCCGTTTATTCAATTTTATACAATATATCCTGGATATTATTAATAATTGACCTAATTAATTGAAATAGCAAATAAGAATCGAAGTACAGCGCGCGCAACGTTGCTTTGATTGTGTTGTGTTAAGCCCTGTCCAGACTATCAAATATTATGTGACAAAAACATGTGACTTGCCTAAATATGGTCACAATGACACCAAATCAAGACCAAAGGCACATCATGAATACATATGGACATACAACAGTTTTTGTCAAAAAAACATTTGTTAGTCTGGACATAGCATTAGTCTTTGTTCTTACTAGTGCAATTTTGACGCGTTTTCGTTAAGCGTAGCATGCAAAGAGGATCATTGATTGGGTGAAAGCCCATAATTTAAACTGCATCTTAATAATTAATTTTCTATAGCTCTTCAGCAACATGTGAATATTTCTAAGAAAAAGCCGCAAAAATCGAATTTTTTAAAAATAAAATATTATCAAAACCGGCGTGAATGAAAAGTGTTTTGTAAAATAGCAGTGCCACGTTTAGCGTAATAATATTATATTCATCGCCATCATGGTCATGGTCATCGCCATCATGGTCGTCGTCATCATCATCAATAATAATAATAACAATAATAATAATAATTATAATAATAATAATAAATATTACTATTATTATTATTATTATATCAATAATAATCTAATAATAATAATAATTATAATTATTATTATTATTATATCATAATATTAATCTAATAATAATAATTATTATTATTATTATTATAACAACAAATTATTATTATTATTATTATAACAACAAATTATTATTATTATTAATATTATTATTATAACAACAAATTATTATTATTATTATTATTATTATTTATATTATTATTATTATTATTATTGATGATGATGATGACGACGACGACCATGATGGCGATGGCGATGAACAAAATATTATTAACGCTAAACGTAGCACTGCTATTTTACAGAACACTTTTCAATAACGCCAAGTTTGATAATATTTTACTTCAAATAATTTCGATTTTTATTATTTCTCTAACCGTAAGTAATTTCTACCTTTCCCCCCAGATTGATCTAATGGACCTCAGCAAAGAGGCAGTTGAATTTAATGGAAAAAAAGTCTACAGATATGTACTAAGTGTTATTAATATTTTCAGTCGTTTTGTTTGGCTGAGAGCTCTGGAAAGGAAATCAAGTGGGCCAATTGCGAAGTGTATAACATCAATATACAACGAACATCGCCCCCTTGATAGACTACAAAGCGACAGAGGTAAAGAATTTGAAGGCAAACTGAATGATGTTTGTAAGATGAAAATCAGAAGAATAAGATCAAGGGCCTACCATCCCCAATCTCAAGGAAAAGTTGAAAGGCTGCATAGACATTTGAGAAGGAAGATCATGTATGACCTAGTGGTACTAGGTAAAAAAGGGGTCAATTGGGCACAACATATTCCAGAATATAACCGAATACTGAACGAAGAAAGCAAAGAAGCACTTGGCTGGAAAACGTCCTTTGAAATCTACTATGGCAGAAAATCAAACATACTGACAAAATCACATATAGACATCGAATATTCAGAAGATGAAATTGACACAGTACCTCTAGGCAGAAAGATTTTGAGCGCCAGTCAAAACAATTTTAGAAGCTGCTCAAGAGCGCAAAGGACTGTGGAAAGAAATTGAATGACCGTTTGCTAAAGCGCCACAATGAACTTCACAAAGTTGCAAGATATGAAATAAACGAAGATGTTTTGATAATATATCGTCCTGCTAATCCAAAGGGAAGCATTAAGTAAAAAAACCCCCAAAAAACGGTACGTTATAAAAGGCACGGTGGTTCAAGAAGAACCAAGCAAGCAAGCGCAAACAACTGAGACAAAAATTATATATTCTGCTTGAACCTTATGAAAAACTAATAAACAGGGATTTCTCCGAAGATGGACTATCCTTGCTTTACAATCCCCCTGGTGATGGGAACTGCCAGTTCGAAGCGCCTAGGTTCAGCCTAGGTAACATAGGAATTCATCGATAGATCGTGCATCTTGAACTCTTTGTTGGAATGCCGTGGTCTCAATATGTCGAGAATATGTCAAGGGATGGAACATACGGTGACCATTTAACATTAAAAGCTGTCGCTGATATGTTTGCTGTAACGATAATCATGTATTCTTCGCTTGGCGCCGATGCTAGAAAAGTCATTGCACCTTTATATAGCATGTCATATGCAACTATACAATTAGGCCACTATGCCGAAAGTCATGGAGAACACTATATATGCGTTAATGGTAGTTTACTCCCAGATGTTCTTCAAAATTGTTCGCAAGACTCAACATCAACCCAATATGATTGCGAGAATGAAAGCGACCACACTACATCTATTGAAAATGAAATAAATGCCCCATCTCCCACAGCTCAAGTTCCAAGTAAAATAAATATCCCACATACATCTTCTCAATATGAAGTTGAAGTAAATACTCAACAAACCCACACCCAAAATAGCTATGAAATGAACATCCCATGTGGACCTATCACTGAAGAAAGTAAAACTGATATCAATATAAATACCAAATGAAATGTTGGAAAAGATTATTATGCTGGCTATATCCACATCAGGGTTTTTTTGGCCTAATCATATTTGCCGTACATTTAATAACCTACTTAACGTGAGCAAACGCTTTAGAACAATAACAAATCGTCACAGTCGGATGCTACCCAAAATACACATATCATCAGGAGAACCCGGATTCACAGTCGGATGCTACCCAAAATACACATATCATCAGGAGAACCCGGATTAATCAGTGTTAGAAAACTTATAAGGAAATTTGGAGCATGCAGTGGCCTTATACTAGAGATCAGAAGGGTAACTGGGCATTCAAATGGGCAAAAGCGTGGCTTTTACTCCAGAGAGAGGGGTATGGGTGGTTTACAATCCTTGATATATTTTGGAGGAAAAAGTAAAACAGGATAAAGCCATTCATTATACCACCACAATAACGCATTTATTAATTTCTAATAAACTATAATTAGCAGTTTCTTTGTGTTTAATACACTGTTGGGATGGGAGGTGTTTCTGTTAGCGATTCTATGCAAGTGACCGCGTAAATATTATTTTAGCTATTCTACATATCTTTTTTATGTTATTAATAGTGTGTGGTCTGGCAAGTTGAAATGTTGACTGACGGTAGAAGTCCTATTCTTGAATAAGGACATGAAATTTATCATCTAGGCCATATATATCTTGAAAAGGAAAGTTTTGAGGATCCTGATGGTGATTCTTATAATTTCTGCCCCTCATCGGTAACTTAGTTGTTATTTATTATTACGCTTGCTGGAAAATGACTTAATGTCCAATGCATACTCTTAAATAATTTTGCAGTATCTGACTTGTTGATGGTGGTTTAAAAGTTTACATGATTATCATAAGCAGGAACTGATGTTAATAATATACGTCGTGTTTATTTTAATTTAGGTACATAGGTCAACGACCGGTAATAGAAAATGTAGTGAATTGTGCCATATAGGTATAATTTATTGTCAATCTTTTCTATCAATACAATATTATACACATAATGCCCTTATGAGGATTAATGAGTATAGTCTATATTTGTTTAATTTTGATAACAATTACACATACAAACTACAGTATTTTATGTGAACAATCATTAAAACAAAATTTTATTACATGCCCACAATAAATATAATAGGTCTACCACAACATAATTGTAAATGTTTAACAACAAGCATACATAAAATTTAAAAAGAAACGCTGTCATGTGAATAACAATAAAGCATTTTCCCCAATAAATTTCAAATGGGTATGCAAATACACACAATAATACAGCTAAAAAGCAGCACTTCGTGACTATTTGTTCGTTGATAAAATGGTAACTGCAGGTCTAAAATTGATTAGGTTTAACCTTATCAAATATATTATTCAGTTAAATCAAACAAATCAAACTCGACTCCTTGGGATTTGAACCCGAGACCTCCGACATACCATATGCATGCACTAACAGACTGAGTTATGGGGTCCAGTAGAATTGGAGCCTACCAAATCAACGTAACGATAATATAATATAATACATTATTTTCCTGAAGACGATTGAAGTAGCTCAATCCAGACGTCGAGACATTCTCAACTTACAACAACACTCCTTTTCAGAACTATCTACGTGTTGTACCACAAGCATCAATATATTATATTATAACCTCGCCATGCAAACCTTCAAACGATAATATAATACGAAATAAGAGGAAAATCAAATTGGAGCTATTTGGGATTTGAACCCGGGACTTCCGTCAAGCGTTGTAGGTATTCTGCCCGACTGGTTAAGGGGGTTAAACGGAATTGCAACTACACCCCATCAAAGTAACGATCATTTAATAGGAAATAAGAAAATGAAAGTAACCCTTTTTTAGATTAGAACCCGGAACCTCCTTCATACTTTTCGAAAGTTCTAAACAATTCCTCCGAATACTATGTAGACGCTCTCACCGATTGAGTATAATTGGAGCTATACCCCATCAACGTAACAATTAGGCTATATAATACGAAATAAGAGGAAAATTGATTTTTATTTCTTTGGGATTTGAACCTGTGACCTTCGTCATACGTTTCGGAATCTCCAATGGATGGGGTCAAGT